GCAAGCGATAGTTAATCTGCGTGGAAGAGCAAAGAATTTTTATAATTTTCAATTAAATAAAAAACATAAACATTAAAAAAAATACATAACGTACTCCTTCCTTGGTAGTGTGTATAGTAGCATTGTTGGTCAGTGTTGGTGTAGAATTTTTTAAAACATTCTGTAATCTTTGCACATATCGATGAGCTCCATTTAAATCTTCGAACAGAATGGTAAGTAAGACAAAAAAAGTAAAAAAGATTACACTTATGCCAAATGTTAACAATTTTTCGAGTAAGAGCATGACTTTTTTTCCCATAAATTCATGCAAAATTGAAATCTAATTGACCCGCTAGGAAATAATAATACTGTTCCAAGTACATGTACAGTTACAAAGTTGAAGACACGACTGAAACAAGGTAACAGTAATGCCAGCACTTAAACTTGCTTAAGGTTAGTAATCTTGTTTTTTTTTTTTTTTTCCAAAATTTTAACATTGAATCAAAAGCGGCAACGCAGACATAAAGAAGCTTTCCGCATAGCTATGAGACATTGATAGGCAGTGTTGGTATTCAAAAATATGTTTTTTAAATTGCTTTTTATATCCAGTAATGAAGGATGATGAGGTGGTATTCGATATTGTTACTCAACTTGTAATATGCAGAAACGCACATACACACGCACTTATATGATATTCTCGATCAGGCATTTGTAGCTTTTTAGTCAATTTCGCCACGTGCGCTTGCTGATTTCTTTCGTGTGTTAACTACAAAAATTTGTGGAAAAATGTAAACATGAAACTTTCGTTGCTAGCTGGCGTTAGCTAATAACAAAACAAACCCACAAACGACAGGTTCTGATTAAAAAAATGCTATCTATGTCGAGTTCTACACGGAATTCGGATAAACGACTCAAAGGGAGAGGTAATCAAAAAACACATATATACAAAAATGACTCCACCGGCCCTCTTAATGAAAAAGCAGTTACTTCAAAATGGATTGTAAGAAACGTTTATTCAAAATATTGCCCGTCTTTGTCTTCTTCTTAAGAATCAATTAATCAACTAATTTTTTTACTTAGAATAATATTAAGAAATAATAAGACAATTGGATGACGGTGCAGACATAATTGGAGCTGATTTAGTATACCATGAAATACAAAAATTACATGAAATCTGCAAAGTCTCGTCATGTGCAGTTCACAACTGGTTTTCTGCATTTGTCAACCATTTAGAATGTGATGCATTAAATAATAAATAAAGCAAAATAAGAGAAAAAAAGCATTCGTCGATATTGGCGACTTATACGTCGCGGATGCGCAAAAATATGTGTGTCATCTATAGATAAAATGCAGACGACAAATTTATAAAACGATATGGAGTGGCCACAGTCTAGTGGGCATGCGCCCAACCGGTAAATGTTGTGCCTTTACCGACTGAGCGCTTACTATAGGTATCTCACTTGAGGTGTGCACCCGCGAACACTGACCTCGTAGTCGCGGTTCTTACCTACTCGCCTATAAATAATAATAAAAATCAAGCATTTGAAGAACGGCACAGATACAAACACATTTATGACATCAGAAACCATGTTGGCTGACAATAATAGTGATAAATCACAGGATAAGAAACAGTGTTCAAAATGCTTTGACGGCTTTTATAGAAATTTTAAAATATGCTGGAAATAGACAAACAATTTTTGATGTCCAAATAATGAAACCGAACCGATTGATCTAATGACACTTCCACCGTTCTTAGAAAACCGCAACTATAGGTTGTTCCGATTATGCGTACCGAAGCGAAGGCAGCAGCTACGCTTTTAAATTTATTTAATAGTTTAATAGACTAAATCGCTTTATCGTACTTTGAAAATCCCTAAACATTTTGGAAGACCAAATAGACCAAAGGAAGACTTGAGTTGTCCAGCTTTAAATTGTTATGCAACTTTATGCTAACCAAAACTTGACTTGCATGCTATAAGAATCGACAAATTAAAAGGCACTTAAAAAAAGAAAGTAATCAATCAACAGGAGAGTTTTTATTTCTAATAACATTGGTTAGTTTATCCAAGCCGGTTTGCCGTCCACCCGATAACCACTGTACGCTGGATGCGAAGCGGCACCGGTTAACTCATATTTGCGACTCGGTTCACCAGCCCAAAAATTCGGAGGCACTTCATATGTTTGCATTGCTTTGTTCGCGTTGGCTCTGAAAGCGGATATTACTACCAAGAATATAGCCAATTTGCCGATCAGCATAGATTTGACCAGTAGCAATTTCAATTTAGTTATCAGGAACGGCATAACCGATGATTGTATTAAGAATGGTAAAATGAAAAGCGGTAAAATTTTCGTCACCATATTATACTTTTTACCGCGACCTGTAATAATAAATATAAAAATGTAATCAATAAATGCATGTAATATACAAAAATTGGCGGCCATTCTTCAAGCAATATAACAATATGCTCACCTTCTTCTGAATTATCCATCAGCCATCGTCCTGCCATTATTTCATTCAGACTATTTCCGTCTAACTTGACTTTAACAATGCTATTTTCCATATCTAAGCTAAGGTTAAAGCCCGGCCCCATATTGTAATGAAGAGTATTTAAATGTGCCTTTTTACGCTGTTTCTTCTCATATTTCATTTTACTCTCCTTAATTCGTTCGGGTTTCACCGTGGTCGTGGCCAAATCTTCACCTGTAACTAGCTTTTCGGTGTGCTCGTCTTGTTCTTGTTCTTCTTCTTCTTGTTCTTCTTCTTCTTCTTCTACTTCCGGTTCGGTATTCAACCGTAAAAACTCAGTCGTCAAATTTTCATTGGTTTCATTCGCATAATGCGCCAGCTTCTCTTGTTGGGAGGGGTTCCTTTTCAAGGCCTTCCTTAAGGTTTGTTTATATTCCGTTAATGTCTTATTACCCAGATAAGTGCTCTTGTAATTATTATAGATATTCATGAAAACGCTTCTTAACGGCTTCGCATGTCTCTCATTTAAGGTTGTGCCAGCAATACTTCGACCTTCTTTGGTATTCTGCTCAATTAACTGCGTGTCGTTCGCACTCAAGACATCCGGCTGATTATCACTTGTACTATTGTTATTGATTTGTAAATTATTTACTCTCTCATCACTAAACCTATGTTGGTGGCCGTCAGTTAAAACCAGTAGCAATACTAAAATACTTAAAGACTTGAATCTTTTTATTTTCATTTTATTTATTTATTTATTTTTTTTTTTGTTTCTTTTAATCTCAATTTTTTTCCTGATTTAATTTCTTGGTTTAAGTATTTCTTTTGATTTATTTTTCCGAATTATGTTTGCGGGAATTAAGTTGATGTGCATTCGCTTAAATGGTTTTAGTGAAAATGTCTCTAAAACAGTGTTTGCCATCGCATTTATTAACTCTGTGTCTGGCTAAGTAATTGAAAGTAAGGAGATGCGCTCTTCTATTAACAAGCTCGTCAGCTAGTCAGTTAGTCAGCTAAGGCAATCATTCGCACACAATAAATCTGGTTTCCATTTCTATTTTTGTTGCATCTCTTTTTTCTTTTTTTTTTTTTTGTGTGCGGCAAGAATTGGATTTTCCATAAATTCTTGAAATTCGAGATTTTTACACTTTTCCCAATTGTGAAGTTTTTTCTGCTTGTGGATATGCTGGTTCTAGGAAAATACAATCGCCTTGTAAACGGAGCTACCGTTTATGTGATTTCTTGTTCCAATTTCTCGTTCAATTTTTTTTGCAATTATAGAAAAGTTGCTGCTTGGAAAATTGGAAAATTTAAGTCAACTTTTCAATACATATGAATATTGGTTTTCATCATCATAAGTATTTTAAAGGCGGAACACTATCGCTGAATCCAATCTACATCAAGGGTATAATAAAATTGGAAAACATCAAGCGAAAGCAAAAGAAAGTAAAGAAGGAAAGCAGGAATATTTACGCATGTGTAACGTATAGTTTAAGGATAAGTAGTTTTTATAGTAAACCGCTGTCATCATAAGAAAATCGTATCACAATTCGGCAGCCTATCCTATTGCTGCCAGCTTTTAATCATTTAGGCAAGAGTGATACGAATGTTTGATTTGACCCTTAGGTTGATTATTTATTATCCTGAATTTCCTTAAGCAAATCATTGCTACAACGGGACCAATGTGGGCCATTTTTCACGAGATTGATGAGTGGTAAAAAAGGATCGTGATCCAAGACGAAGGAAGCTACTCACACTAGCAATGTCAGAGCTCGAATAGACGCCACGTAAGATAATGCTCTATCTTTGGTGCGATTGAGTTAGGATCGTGAGCTGCTGCAACATTGTCACGCCATAGATTCTTGGCTAGTGCCTTCAAGCCTTGTCTCCGATTAAGGCAACGTTAGGCCGAGAATACTCTCGGTAGAAAAATGAAAGAGTTTAATTCATTTATCGCGGAGCAATGTCCCTTCGGCGACCATCTGTATGACTGTCTGTAGAACTCTGTTATTGGTGCAAAGTTGACGGAGAAAAATGCACATATGTACCTTGTAATGTTGTGACACAACATATTAAACATTTGGGCCTCAACTTACTCCCTCCATTTTTCTGCTTATATTTCTATTCAAGTTCGAACAAACTGCAACCGAGTATGTATTAGCTCCGTATCTCTATTATCTCCCGGAGCCTCCCCTGCCCCGAAAACACAGTGCATTGATAGGGTGTTTATGTTTTTTCTGGCACCCGCGATAACAGGATCTCCTTACTTTAGCGATTCTCTCCTCTGACCCTTATTCAAATATATGCATTTTTGAAAATACCACCAGAAAGTGAATCGCCCTAATTCCCGCATGCGTAATAGGCAGAAGCGGACTGGTTAACCCCTTAAAATGTGCATCAAAAACTCGCTTTTTTAGTCAATTTTGTCATAACTGTCTATCCGTCCGACTGTTGACTTCTTATTTTTTTCATGGAATTAATTTTGTATTGTGTTAGTAATTAACTGAACGATTGAAAACGAAAAGAAATAGAAAAATTCAAATAGCTCTTGAGATAAATTAAAAAATAATTCAAAGCAACTGTTCGAAGTAAGCAAATGAAAATGATACAATAACTAACTAATAAGAGTTGATCGTCTCACATCTCACTTACACTTTCACTACATAATTTTCCACAAGTCCATTATTCATTTTCTCTTATATCAATATAAATGAAAAGAAAAAAAAACATTCAAAACTCTTAACCATAACGTCTGGAAGAGAAATTCTTCATTAATCCTAACTTTTCTCGCAGATAATATTCACTCGAATTATCGCAGGCAACAAGAATTTTTTGAGAGGAATACATCAGCTGCAGGTACTGCTTACTAAATTTGTGAAGAGACAAACAGGATCCGTAAATCGCAGCTAGTTATTAGAATTAGTAATTAGAAGTGTCGTGGAGTTAGGCAGCCATGTGCCAAATAGTAACCTATCCGACAAATTTGCTTCTTACTGCGTGAGACATAACTCTCTCGCCACGCAGCCTTGCGCTCGATCCTTACCAAGATGCTGGTGGTATCTAATCATCAGTTGGATTTTAGACTCAGTAGATTTGACAGAATGTAACGATCCTTATCGCACTTTTGCGAGAATTAGTGTTAGGTTAAGGTTCCAAATTTTTGTCCAGAAGAGCCTGGGCATGCGCTGCTAACAATATTTTATGAAATTTAATGTGTGCGCCTGAAACCATTTCACACCTATTCCTGGTCTCTTAAAAAACAGTGAAAGTATTACTCCCTCCCTCATGCGTTAAACCATTCAAGTTTAGACTCCTATGACAAGCCTTCTGGCATTCAAAACAGTTAACTTGGATTTAAGCATAATTTCAATATAAAGACTTAGTGGAAGAGCATAATCCTGTAATCCTTACTGGCTATCGCTGTTTCCTCTCTCTTTTCTCTGTTCGACCAGGCAATCAGGCGACATCCTGTTTATACATAAACTAGGTGGTGATCAGGATGCATTTCCTATAGAGCAGAGAGAAAACAGAGATTTTTGAGATCCGACTTGAAAGTGGGAATCGGCTGAGGTTTGCAGAAAACTTCTCCTTGTTTTTTTTTCTCCTTAAAATTCTCGCCTAACTACTAAAGTAAACTATAAGGTATTGATGATCATTAGATTAAATTTCACTGATAATAATCGACGCGTGCTAACGCGTATATAAATGGATTTTTATGTCAAAGCCATCGTAAGCAATAAAGCGATCGTATTTATAACAAGCACTTGAACATGTCAGGAAATACTTAACATACAAGATAGCATCGAAAAGTGAAATTTCTTCAATTATTTATGTGTTTTTCTTCTTTTTTTTTTTTTTTTTTTTTTTTTCTTTCGTTATATTTCTTTAACCATATTTTTTTCATTATTATAATTACTAGCTGTGCTCGTATTATTGATGATTGATTTAGAAAATATGCAAAAATAATCTCAATTATTTAATAAATATTAATAAATAAATAATTATACGTAAAAACGAAACTAGATATATAGTAAACGAACAAAAAAAAAGAAAAAAGCAACTAACTTAACTAATTTTTGGTTGCAATCAAATACTGGTCAGCTAACGAAAGCAACGATAGCAGCAATATTTGTTTGTTCAAAATTTCAATTTTTTCGGCGAAACGTAAGAGGTACCAAATTATTTCGAATATAGTCGAACGGTTTAAAGATTAGACCGCCGTTACCACTCTTTCTCTAACCAAACGGGCTGCTGAGTATGGCTATGCGAATAGACCACCGGCACTGGAGCGGGTGCAGTATAGGCAGCAGCCGCATGCACGTGAGGTAAAGCTCTTGACAACATTTGTCCAATCGCCAAAATAAGTAGAATAACACCTACACCTAAACCCTTGAGGGAGACAACCGTCAGCGCGGCTAGAAGTGTTGTAATAACACCGACCACAAAGGCGCCCGGCACAAGAGCAAAACTTATCCGTTTTAGGAAATGATGACCAAAGGTACGACTTTCTAAATATCAAGGAAATAAAAAAAAAGAAGAAAAAAAGAAAAAATAGAAAACAAGGGACACGGGGAATAAGAGAGAGTTTCCCAGTAAACTTACCACTAACATCTGATTCAGATTTTTCCTCAGTATCGTTGATCGCTTGGCAGACAATAGCATTCATCATAATCGAAATCACTAATAAAGCACAAATAACTTTTTGTTGGGTCGCCATTTTGCACGGATTTATTTGTATTTTTTTTTTTTTTTTTTTTTTTTTTTTTTGCTTGAAAAAACACTAATTTTCCGTCACAAACAATCCACAAACGTATCGGCCCGTAGCACTTTATTTCTTAGAATAGTTCCTCCCGTTAATCAATAAACTCTTCGGACGGTGACAATGTAATGAATAAACTTTTGATTATAACGTTGGTTTTTATTATAGGAAACATTCGAGAATTGAATACAAATAATCGAGCGCACGTTTTTTCTGTTTTTCTGTTTTTCTGTTTTTTTTTTTTTTTTTGTTTTCCTTTATTGAACATATTTTTAGTAGTCAAACATATCTACCTTAACGGCGATATATGTGCATAGCTATGTAAGTATACCTTAAACGTTACACGTTTGAGTGTTTGATACATTTACGGTTAAAGAAATTTCTTACGTTTTCCTTCGGTTCCCTTATTGTGGCCATTCGAATTTTATACTCACTCTTCAACAGAATATTAAGTTTGTCATTCCCTGTGTGATATAACGTCTGAGCCCGTGTCCTCCTCCGTGAAGTATATATCAATGACTTTGATGAAATTTCCAAAGGTATGAATAAAAGTTTCGATATAGTTAAGTAAAGATACGCCAATAGGTCTGCAACTAAGCTCCCATCGTCCTACCAAGTCCTTTGAGCGTCACTGAAAGTGAGGACATGTTTATGTTCGACCATATGCCCAGGGGCTAGTCTTCACATCGACCTTCTATTCGGTATACGCGGCTACAACCTAACACTCTGGAGCTAATTAAATCAGTATTTTGGCTTGTCTCTTGACCGCCATTGGAAATGGCCGACAACTCGTTATCCAAGTCCTGACGATCTTATGTGACGAAAACGAATTACACGGTGCTCGAAACAGAATGAATGGTATTACAGGCGGACTAGAATTTTCTGAATTTTCTGAATTTACTTGAAAGCGTTAAAATCCGCAATATCAAGGATATAAATACGTTTAACAAAGATTAGTGCCGAGTAGAATGATAAGTTCATAAAGCAATCGGTGCAAAGAAATAGTCTAATCAATATTGTTATTGGTGAAAGCGGATAACAAGAATTATAGACAGTTTCGTCTGCTGTTAGAGTCCACGGAGATCTAAAAACGAAGATGAAAAGTGAGTGAAACCCATCGTTTTTATACACCGTTTTTTTTACACGGTTTTTCCACTCAATCGTGTAACTTATACTTAATGGGTATGTTAATAGGTAGGGTGTATGTTATAAGTTCCAAGCTTAAGAGTAACCTCCCTACCTGACCAAGTTCAATGTAGCTTAATAGTCAGTGAACATTTTTAGGGAATCCGCAACGGAAATAATTCACAACCAAAACATATTTTCACTGCATGCCATTCTTGTAAACTTTGAGGCGATGTGCATTCATTTCAAAGCTGACGTCAGTGCTTACTTAGTTAGTTATAAGATTATCCCCCTTCATTGTTGGCCGCCTTTTTTTCTTTTGTCCAAAATGCTCACTTTCATTTGTTATCCGTTATGGGACCTGATGTGTGTGTGTGTGTGTGCGTGCGCGCGACTTTAATTTTTTTTAATTTATTCATATCTCAATAAAAACAATGAAACCTTTTTTTTTTGTTCATCGTCTATACACATATATACAATTCATTCACTTGCACACACGAACGTGTAAAAAAAATCATATCCGGCTTAGGTAGAATTTTTGATACTCACTACCCGTTTACTTTACGAAATTGTGTGCGATCTAGTGCAGTTGTTAAACTATTATCGTCAGGTCTCATAGAACTCTACTCCCGACAAATTAAGCGGAATGATTTTCCTACTAATCCTAACAAATAACCGATCGTGGATTACCGAGGAAAGTTTATGAAAACTTACAGTTACATTTTTTTTTTATATTGTGGTCTGTCTTGTAGAATTGATTCTACTTTCGATTTTACATTTTTGGTTTTTTCGAGGATCCAAACAATTATGGCTGGACGCACAAACATGCCTTAAACAACACAGAACGCATGTATTAATCTTTTTTGCATTTACATAAAGTGTTGTATATGTCTATTGTTTATAGGCTCACTGATAATTACATCCAATTTGCAACTGCGATGCAAACATGGCAGGAAAGAATTTTGTTGTAATCATTCTTTCTCTCTGCCTCTTCCTCCTGCGTCATTTTTTACTTCCCGAAGGTGAACAAAATCGTAACAATTTTCTTGTTTTCTTGTTGTCTAAAGTATGCTTTGTGTAAAAAGTATCCGGAATCGTTAAGTGAAAATAATGAATTTTTCAAAAAATTTATTTTGTTGTCTTCTGCCACTTGTGGTCTACCTTCTCTTACATCATTGGGGAATTGTTAAACACTTTAACATTTCGCCAAATTTTGTTTTCTTTAGGTACAACTTTGCAGCATCGAGCACTGAGCCCCAGAGCTTAAAGTATATATATTCTTGATTAGCTTTACACTCTGAACCAATTTAAGGATGTCCGTCTGTCTATGCAATAACTGTAATAAACGCTCTCCTGCTTGCAATAATAGCCTTCAAATTTGGCACAAAGATTGGAAGCGCTTCCGCGCCGTTTGGTATTGAACTTATGTCAAACCAGTGAAAAGGCGCTACCACGATACAACATAGCCTAAGAACATGCTGTGTTTTCAAAAATAGAAAAAAATTTGGTTCTTTGCTCATTACCTATAAACCACAATAGATGCAACGGTCTTGCAGCACCGGTACAAAAATGGGAAAAATCGTCCCCACCTACTCAATATTACAAAATATTGCAATTTCATTGTTTTATCCATACGCATGCAGATTGCAACAACAAGCTTCAAAGATCATGCAAAGTCTACATATAATTGATCAGTATCGAACAGTGATGCATACAAAAGATTTATTCGCGCTCGATAATATAATTTTCTTTCTTGTGATAATTAACTTTTTATTTTTATGACCGATGCCATTAGGAGAGTTTTACGCGCAGGTTACGTTTGATTTCAAACTTGCTATGTGTTAATCACAAGATGAATGTAAGCGATATATGCATCGCCCTTCAAACCGATTTTTATAGCATGGACTCCACCAGCGGACGCACAGTTAGTTATATATGAAAATTTGGCCATTTTGTGAAAATAATCACAAGCGTTTAGTGAATAGTGAAAATGAAAGTAAAAACTTTAATAAAACCAAACAGGTCAGCAAAGTCATGGAAAACATCAAACAATTGAATATGACGTGAAAATCCTATTTTATAACTTTTTTCATTTGTTTTCTTCTTTTCTTTTATTATAACATATTCTTTTTGCAATCTATCGAGAAAGATAATAAGCAAATGTTGAGACAAGGTGCGGAAAGTAGCAAAGGTTATGATCGCACATTACATTAGATTATAACAATACGGATATGATGTTTAGTTGAATAAAAACAAACATAATATGTACTGTAGGGAGAAAAGATGAATTATTTTCTAAATGAAAGATCCGTTCGAAGCAAGACAGCTAAGGATTTGCATGATTACCCTATGGAAAATCCATGACATGAACGGCAGTAGCATATGAATGAATGATAGTAGAACAGTGCCAATGAATGTAGAAAACTAAATATTTGCATTTTTTTTTCTTTTCTTTGACGACGCCTACGCTACTATGCCTGCCGTAAGGGTTACGAAATATAATAAATGAAAATTAAGAAGAAATAAATAGAAATAAAGTCAAACTTGGTCTTTTTAAGGTTTTTTTTTTTATTTTTAAACCGTGTTGTTGTGCGTACATTGAGGCATAGTCTTCTATTAATATCTCTCAAGCACGTTTATAGTTGTTTTATATTTATCAAGAAACTTAACGCGAAGAAATTCGCCTTCAAGCACATATACCACATACAGTATAAGATTTTAATTCACCTAAATTTAAATCGACTGCAATTATTTATTTTTAGGACAAACCATTACTAGCGCAACTTTCACTTTCATTCAACAAAAGCTTACATCTTATTACTTTGTCTACAAGTGCTTCTTACTCCATAACACATAACACATCGCAAAGATTATACCAATCCTGCGTAATAAAGTATTTAGGTTTTCAAGTGCTTTAAATATATTCAAACAGAAAAGCATAAAACTTAAATTTTTCAATTAACAACAATTGTAATAATAAACGAAAACACTTATTAATGCTATAGACGGGTAAGTCGGACCATTAGATATTGTACAACAGTTGGCTTACTGCAGTTAGTCATTCCTTTTCTTAACAATGCATCTAATGTTACACTTCGTATTTCTATGTAAATATATAATTTTCATGAAAGCACTCAACCCGGGAGGTTACTCAACACGTCAACTAACGCGGTCGAAATTTAATGGACTTAACTGATTTGTCAAAGATTTTATTACTTTCCAAAGTGCTGGCGACCTAACAAACCTCAAGCTAAGCTGTGCCTCCAAAGAAGGACTCGCTCTCATGGAATCCCTATTATGTGGGGCGATATTCATTCACTTTTGTTACTTACTTCCTACAGGAGATGTAATGCACTTTTCAATATGATTAAAAGCGACTTTTTATTAACAGTAGACCGATTTGTATAACCTGGCCGAAGGGTGCGAACACCCATGTATAACATGGCAGAAAGAAAAAACGTTGTCAAACATGGGGCCTACTTGCTACTCATTAGTCATGAGTGTGTCATTAGCCCCCGTAAACGAGCACGCACTTCTCTTCTTTCTTTCTATTCCATAGGTAATCAATTATTTTGAAATCTAGGGTAAAATATTTAGTGTAATATTATTATTAGTTTAGCCAGAGAATAAATTCGAAGACTAAAAGCCTGAGGTTATCGGATTCATTACAAACTCTAACGGCACTTGGGAATTGAACCCACAACCATTGAGTTGTCAGTCGACACCCTTCCTCTAATGTTATATAATATGCAACGTTATCGTTTAAATAAGGAATAAAGTAAAAAAATTAAATAAAAAATCAATAATAAATAGCATTGTTAATCTTTGTGAATGCAGACCGTGCCTGAAGCTTTTCTAAATACTTAATGGGTGAGAATGTCATTCAAAAATTCCTGAGATCTAATTTTATAAAGTAGCAAAGATTTATAGCTTAAGTGGCTTGTGTGTGCACTCCATCCCATATTGAATAATTTATTATCATTTTAACTCGTATTGAATTATTATTAAGCTTAAACGAACGATCAGTATTTGAGATTGATTGAAATGACAAACATCAGAGATATGTAGACGCGTTATAAACTTGAATTATATATAAATGTAAATGAAGAGAAAAACTACGTCAATCTTGTGCCGATAATTGTAGCAGATGCGTTGACAATAAATTAGGTCAGCGTATTTTATATGGTAACCACCACTAACCACCACTAACCGAGTCATGTGAATATTTTGTACGCATACAAACACCTACATTAAGCCTGCAATCTAAAGGAAAACGAGTAGAGTAAAAAAAAAAAAAAAAAAAAAAAAGAAAGAAATGAAAAA